CTTGGCACAACTTGGTGAGCACGTCCAGGGCAGCATCTGTTAGCTGAAATATGTCAATTGGTATACCATCTATTCCTGGGGCCTTATTTTTTGTTATTTCCTTCAAAGCAGCCTGAACTACTTCCTTCTCTTGCTCATATGTTTTTTTTTATCAAAGCCTTCTGTGTCTGCCATTCCTTTCAATAACAGTGACTCAGTATATTATTTATTTATAAATATTTAGAAAAAATTTATTGAATATTTATAAATAAATAAAATTTTATATTAGTGCTTATTTATCATTACTCTGGTCAGAGTAAATTCTTTGGAAGAATATTTCCATCTATTTTGTAATACCATCCAACGATGAAATTAGTGCACTCTTGTAACTCTGTCTTTGCGTGTCTTATGTTGTGGTGGTGGTTAGGTACCCTCCAGTCGAGTATGGCATATGGTGACCTCATAAACAACAGATTTTTATTATTTTTTTTTTAATTTTTTATTTATTTATTTTGTGTGTGTACCGTCAAATTGGATCTGACTGGTACAGGAGGCGATTGTTCCTCCTTCTTCAGCAGAGCATCTGGTGGATTCGAACCACACACGTCTGGGATTGCAGTGCAGTTTCCTGCCACTAGGCCACCAGAGCTTGCCAGAATCTATTTTTTTAACCCATCATCCATTTCTTACTTAACCAAAAAGAAGGTGGTGGTGGTGGTGGTGGAGGAGGAGGAGGAGGAAGAAGAGGAGGAGGTGGTGGTGGTGATGGTGGTGGTGGTTGTGTGCCATCCAGTTGGAACTGACCCATGGCTGACCCTCCGGCGGGTTTGCAGAAGCAGTTAATTGCAAGGGAGGAGACTGCCCATCCTTCTCCCGTGAAGCAGCTGGTGGACTCGAACAGCGTGCATTCAGGTTGGCAGGCAGGTTCTTAAAACTAGGCTACCAGAGCTTTAAATACTGTAATGCAGGAACGTGCTCGGGGCATGGTAATTGACAAGGGCTGCTGATGCTGAGGGTAATGGAATAATTTCCTGGGGCAAAACTTGCACTTAGAGGTCTTTGTTGTTGTTGTCGATTGCCTGGCTGGTGGAGTAGGTGAAGTGTTGAGCTTCAAAAGGTTGATAGTTCAAAGCTCACCAGCTGTTCTGCAGGAGAGATGAGGCCGGTCCCTCCCACTGAGGTACACATCTTTGGAAACCTACCGGAGGATTGGTGAGGGTCAGAACTGACTTGGGGATGGGTAGGCTTAGGGGCATTGGTTTTGAGTTTTAGGGGAGAAAAGAAGGTTTGTTTTAAGTGGTTTTTTAAAAAATTTATTTTAATGAAAGTTTACAGAGACTTTGGATTTCCATTCATTCATTGTTGCACCCTTTCCTCCCTGCCCAAAAGTAAAAAAAAAAAATTCTTTCATTGTTATACAACCCCCTCCCCTCAGTTCAGTTCACTATGCAGCTTTCATTCTGGACTCCTGTCATGACAATAATACCTAATCATATATCCCTCCTAAAGAGTTCTCTCCCTCATCTGTTTCAATGCAGTATATATTATTTATCCCATCTTTCTCAATCTCCCCCCCCAACTCTAAAATCAGACCTGATTTACAACAGTGGCACTAGGCAGCATTTGTCCTTTTGTAACTGAGACATTTCACTTAGCATAATATTCTTCAGGGTCACCATTTTGTATAGTAATTCATGAGTTCCTTATTTTTCAATGCAGCGTCGTATTCCATTGTGTAAATATACCAGAGCTGCTCTATCCATTCATTTGCTAATGGGCATTTGGGTTGTTTCCGACTCTCTGCTATTGTGAATAAAGCTGCGATAAACATGGGTGTGCATATATCTGCTTGGGTGGCTGTTGTGGTTTCTTTAGGGTAAATTCCCAGTAGTGGAACGGCTGAGTTTAATGGTATCTCTATTTCCAACTTTTTGCGAAAGCACCGTACAGCCTTCCAAGGTGGTTGCACCATTTTACACTCCCACCAACAGTGAGTAAGGGTTCCAGTTTCTCCACAACCTCGCCAGCATTTGTTGTTTGCTGTTCTGTTAAATTTTGCTATTCTGACTGGGATGAGATGGTGTCTCATAGTCGGTTTTTAAGTGTTTGGTTGTAAGTGAAGTGGTGATGACCGGCTGGGTAGGAAGTCCGTCTGGTCTGACTGGGAGAGCCGACACCCAGACCCCGTGTCCCTCTTGTCCAGGCTGGAGGCCATGGCGCGCATGGCTGTCATGAAGGACCGGCAGCAGAAGGACATCTCTCAGTACAACCTGGAGATCCGCGAGCTGGAGCGCATATACGCCCACGAGAACAAGCTCAAGTCCTTCCTGCTGCTCAAGCTCAACGAGCGCTCGGAGTTCGAGGAACAGGTCCACAGGGAGGAAGGTAGCCGCCTGGGACGCGGCAGGGAGGAGGGTAGCTCAGCCTTGCCGCTGGCGCAGGGCTCGCCTGGCTGTGTGCTGCTGGGGGCAGGTCCTGTGCAGCAGGGCAGAGGGTCTCAAAGGGCATCCCAGACTGTGACCTCCACGGGAAGAGGCCCCGGGGGTGCAGCTTGGGCCTCAGCTGCCAAGGGCCCTGAATCTGCCTGGAGGTCTTCGGGATAAGATGTGGCAGTCCGCAGCTTTGAAGATGCATGGCCGTGGGAACCCTCTGGGGACCTTCTGACCCGTCCTGCAGGGTCACCACGTGTCAGGACAGGTTCCCTGGCACGTGGCTCGAGTGGGAATCTTTAGGAGAGCAGATCCAGATCTTTCTCCCTGGGGGCTGCTAGGTGGATTCAAACTGCCGATGTTTTCATTAGTAGCTGAGTGCAAAGCCACTTGCTCTTCTCCCCCTGCCCCCCATCCCCGGGCTCCTGCATGGTATTTACCAATAAACCTACACGTCCTCCTGCTGAGGTGGGCCTGAGTCAGGGCCACATCCTGCATGGTTTTTGAGGCTGTAAATATTAATGGGTGCAGACGGCTTCATCTTTATCGTGAGGAGCATCTGGGTGTACTTGAACCACTGACCATTTGGCTAGCAGCCACCGTGCCAGCAGGATTCCTTACGTGGCATATAAAAAACCCGCTGAACCAGCGATTTGTGGAATGCACAAATGAGCGAGGATTCCAGCCCTTTCTGGGAGGACTGAGCCCGTGGGAGAAAGATGATGCCAGCTGCTTCGGTACAATATTACAGTCCTGAAACCCTGAGGGGTGATCCTGGCCCGGCCTCCAGGTCACTGAGTCAGGCTCGACCCTCCCTCGGTGCAGGTGGCCTGCGTCTGTCTCCCTGGCACCAAATCTCACACTCTGTGGTGCTGGGCTTTCCTTTTCTAGATCGCAAGACCCAGAAGTATGGGAAGAACAAGGGTGAAAGTTTCGAGAGTTACGAGGTGGCCCATCTCCGGCTGCTGAAGCTGTCTGGGCATGGGAACCTGGACCAGCTCATTCAGGAATTTGTGTCCAAGGAAGAGAAGAACTTTGCCAGGTTTACCTACATCACAGAGCTTAACAACGACATGGAGATGATGCAGAAGAGGACACACAGTATCCAGGTCTTCAGCTGGGGTCCCTGGGCCGCGACCGTATAGCCGTTAGCAGGCTAGCAGCGCACCTCCAGATGCTTCACTGGAGAAAGGGCCCCAGGGTTGAATCTGGGAAATGGCAGGGATCCTCCAGTGGCTTCACCTACATTTAACTTTTCTGAAGCTGTTACTTAGCTTTAGGTTGGTGCACACATCCAGTGTGGTCATCCCTACCATCATGATGTGGTCATCCCCTACCTTCATGATGTGGTCATCCCCTACCTTCATGATGTGGTCATCCCCTA